GATGGTTTAGTTTCACAATTTAATCCGACAGTTGACGCTGTAGTTGAGTTAATACTAAAACTCTTATTTATGATCCGATTTGGCTAATGTTTAAAATATGTATGCAATACTATTGCAATACCTGCTGCCAAGTGGTGCTGAAGTCAAGTTATTACTAAAAATAGCCAAGTGAGAAAGGGGCCGTGAAGGTCAGATTAAATCGAGCTGTTGCACCATTGAGTATATCGTAGATGTATATTGCATTTCTGTAGAACAATGATCCGCACCCATTTTGAAATTGCCACCAACTATACTGTAAAGCTTCTAGGACATTCACTATAGAACCGGGTCATTGTTGCCGCCAGGGAGTGAAGAGGAAAAAATTTATTTCGCTTTGCGAATAACCGTGCTATGAAATTCCGCACAACCGGATATAACACTTTCCTTAGGTTATTTAAAGTGGCAAATGGCCACCAAACCATAATCTTAGCAGACGAATGTGCCAATGAAAATCGTAAACGTGAATTGTTGGTGAAAATGTTGGACCAAAAAGATTCAATAAAATATTTAAAAATTTTGGGCGGGACGAAGTTCGCCGGGTCTGCTAGTATTTAATAAGGTGAAAATGCAGATGCACTTTGATTTTTGCTTATTCAAATTTGAAATCATTTGAACAGTTTAAGGTTTGACACTTTACCAGATTTTACCAGCAAAAATTCTTCGGGTAAAATCTTGCAGCTTCTGACAAAGAGAGGACCGATTTAACTCTCCCATTTTTCCCCTACTTTTCCAGAAAGCCGAATACAGGAACGCTTATGGGCTAATTTCAATCATAATATTACGGTACAGTTTTGCAAACCAGTCAGTTATTGTTTTAATTTAATTTTTGTTTGGACGAACTCTTTATTTAATTGAAATGCATTTACAAGCCGGTGGGTGCTTATTGTCAAAAAGCTTGCCAAGTATTTGTAATTAGTATTAAAGAAATTTCATTTCAACTCTTTTTCTATTTCGACTGTTTTAATGAGTCTTAATTTTGCTTTTTATTCGTTCGACGATAGTATAGGCGGTATACAAGGTGCGTCNAAAAAAGCTTGCCAAGTATTTGTAATTAGTATTAAAGAAATTTCATTTCAACTCTTTTTCTATTTCGACTGTTTTAATGAGTCTTAATTTGCTTTTTATTCGTTCGACGATAGTATAGGCGGTATACAAGGTGCGTCTGACTCGCGAGTCATTTGTGTACGTGTTGACTCGCCTTCGACTACACACAGTTGAATCATTCAGAGTCATGCCAGGAGTCATATATTTATTTTCACAAACACATCCAAAACCGACTCGCGAATCAGACGCACGGTGTTTGCCGCCTATTACATTTTAAGCATTAAAACATTTACAATTTGAAAATTAAAAAAAAAATCACTTCCTGTTGTTAATCCATTTCTCTTCATTCCCACCATGCTTCCATGTATCAATCAATCAATCAATCATGTAATCAAAATCATTGCAATGAATGACGATCATTGTAGGAAAGTTTAGCGGTAAGGTTGCATCTCACTTAAATCGCCTACATACATAAATCACTTTAGCAAATGCCCTTCCTTGTCCTACTTCTATGTTCTGCTTGTGCCGTGTGTCTGATACGCAACATTCGGCCTGCCAATCCTGTTTGAATATTCCCATTTATTTTTGCCATAACCTCATTATAACCTCTTTGTTGTAGATTTATTCCATGACGCTGCGGCTCAGCGCGCTATTCGAATCCCAAATAAAGACGGTTATTAGTAACTGGAAGGCAGCACGTCGGCGTGCAAATAAGAATAAAGCTGGCAGCGCACGCGGCTCTAGCACTAGCCCTACAAAGCGTCAGCCGCCCGATCGTAATCGTGGTGGAGCCGCATCGAAACGTGCACGCACCCAGCGAAACGCACGCCAACTGCGTAGTTCAGATGATGATGATGATGATGACGACGATGATGACGATGAAGATGGCGGTGGTCCGGTGAATGCGCAGTCACGCAGCAATCAACGTCGCGCTGGGGGCGGGGCAACAAACGGCAGGAATGGCCCAGATCGCAGTGCTGTAACTGCAGCTGCGAGTACTTCCGCAGGTTCGAATCGTGTTAGCTCGTCTTCTTCACTACCAAGGCGTGGCGGCGGCGGCGAGCCAACACAAGCAACGCGTAGTTCACGACGGAAGGCTGTCAGTCAAGAGTTACACGATGATGAGGATGAGGAGGAGGACACTGAACTACATGTAACGGACGAGCACAGCAGCGCCATGAGCTTCACCTCAGAAGATAGCGATAGCGATGATAGTTCAGATAATGGTCGAAATGATAGCAATGATGGTTCGGATAATGAAGACGCGCGCGGTAGACGTGGCGCTGCACGCCGTTGCAAGCGACGAAGCGGTGGTGATGATTCGGAAGATAGCTATAAACCAGACAATGATAGACGGGGCAGTAAAAGACGCCGTGGCGGTGCGCGGGGTAGCAAAAAAAAGGCTGCAAAGAAGGCGAGTCGAAAACAAAAGGATAAACAACCACAAGCTGCGCGCAAACGCCGACGGCGTTTCGAAGACGATGGTGATGAGGATTACATGGATCACAGCGGTAAGAGGAGAACGGCGGCAACGGCAACGGTCACGACAGTAAACACAAATGGCGTTCGACGTGCGACAAATGCCGCAGCGTCCGTTATAAAAGCCAATATACGCCGCGGCAATAGGCGTCGTTTGCAATCCTCGGAGGATGAACAGGACGATTTGTTGGCACAGCACACAAGCTCGCAACCGGACGAGAGCACACAGGATACTATTACTGGTCATCCGGCGGCGACGGCGGGCATGAGGACACCAAAGAAACGTGCTTCAGCGGTAGGACGCACGCAGCGCGGCAACCAGGTTAATGGCGCTGGAGAAAATGGAGGGAGTACAAGTGCCAACGCGCTCCTACAACAGAGTCCCTCACGCAATACGCGCATGCAAACGAGCACGTCTGCAGCAGGGGCAGGTGCTTCGGCAGCGTTGAGCAATCGGCGGAGCGCAACCGAAATCGATCACACCTATCACCTGCCTGTGCGCAATGGACGACTTCTAGACTCGGATACAGACTCACGGGAAGTGGCCGCCAACGCGCGTCCAACAAGGTCTAGTTTCAAGCGTGCTATCTTGGAGTGGGCGCGCACGAGCGATGTGGAGGATGCTGCGGAGGATGAGGATAGTGAGGAAGCAGAGGAGGTGCGTGCGTAATAATGCAGAGATTGAAGAGAGAGAGTGAAAGAGAATTTATGTTTGGTTTATTTTATGATTCACAGATTCTGCCAACCCCGACGCCCACAAAGGTGACGCCATCGAAGGCAAATAATGCCAGCAATCTATTGAACGGACCATCAACCAGTCGCGCCGCTTATGGTGGAGGAGTAGTTCCCGTAGCTGTTGGACAAGTGCGTCAGCTGCGCACCAATCGCAACACAGTCGTTGAGCCAACGGATGAGGATTCGGAAGATGGTGACGGAAGCGAGAACGAGCCGCTCGTTTCGAGTCAAGGCAACGGAGTGGCCGCCAGTGGACGTATGCATTGTAAGTAACCTTCCTCTTAACCTTAGCCTTAAATAAGTAAAATCCCTAAGTATCAAATTTTTTCCTGATCATTTGACTACTTCCGCTAATGAAGTTTCCCTTCAAAAATATTTCCTGGAATTGCCCTAACGATTGTTTCTTGGTTTTCTTTTTTTTAGTGGCTAGTTACCCGCCAACCCGCAGCACAACTAACACTGCCACGCCGCGCCTACAGGCGCACGCAGCTGCCATGAGTAACGCGCATATGACGCGCTCACATGCCACATCTACGACGTCATCATCGAACATAACTACCTCTACAATATCGGCGCACGATCACAACTATTTGGGATCCGAAGCACTGCGTCCGTCTTCATCGGCAGGCGCATCACGCAGCGCTTCACGTCGTGTGCTATCAAGACACCAGCGCAACGCTGACGAGTTGGACAGCAGTGCGGATCCGCTGGATAACACAACCCTTTACATACGCACCTCAGGTCTACGCCGTGGTACACCCACTTCGACGACGCAAAGTGCTTTGAATGGTGGGACAGTGGATGCCACGATATCGGCTGCCGTAGTGGCAACGCTAGCGCCACAACCTACGCGCACAGTTCGACGAGGTCGTTCGCGCTATAGTCAAGAACACTCGCAAACTGCCGAGGACGACGACGACAACGATGATGATGTGGCAAGTGAAGAGGATGCCAGCGCCGCTTCGGACGAGGGCACTGACGGTGGTTCTAGCGCGCATAACGATGTCGACGTCGACGATGATGCCACTGATGACTCGGAAGACAATCAGCCATTGACTTCGTACGTGCCGTCAGAAAGACGAACTCGCAATCATGGCAAACCAGCGCGTCGCACTAATAGCCGCCGTCGTTCGGACGACTCCTTCGTGTGCGACGATGACGATGAGGACTACGAGGTGGAACGCCAGCGAGAGCGGCGACGTCAACAACAAAAAGCACGTTCGCGTCGTCGGCGTAGTGACGGCGATGGCGGTAGCCCTCCACGCGGTAGCCGCAAGCAACGTGGCTCACGCAACCAAAAACGACCGCGTTACAACGAGCAGAGTGACGATGAAGCGTCGCATGACTACGTGAGCCTACGAAAGCGGCGCCGTGAGGTGGATGTGGGAGAAACGAGGGAAATTGTAGGCAGCACTTCACAAAGGCCGGCGACACAGCGACTGTCACGCAATCATGAAGATACGGAAAGTTCAGACGGGGACGATGACGAACAGCTGGTGAGCGTTAGTAGTCGGGGGCGTGTGCGAAAAATTTCGGCCAAGGCGCGTCGTATATTTAAAGAGTAAACCAGTGTGCTGGCTGCGTTTGAGATACCGACGCAGCAACGAAAGTACTGGCGTTTGAAATGACTGTTTAAAAACCATATGCACACACACACACTCACACTATGCATATACATACGTAGTTGAAATATTTACGGAGGAAAACGAATGTGTGAAGAGTAGTATGTATTGAAATAGGAACTTAATTGAAGATATTACATTTAAAAATGCAATTAAAAAAAAAAACTACTTTAAAACATGTATGTTTATGTGGAACTCGTTTCAGTCGCGCTTACACAAAATATGCGCTATTATGCGATCTCGCAAACGCATTGCACACAAATACGCGCGTGGCTAATTAGTAATTTAAGATTTAGTTAAAATGTATGCTTTAAATAAATAGTATGTATGTTTGCAAATTGTAGGAACATGAAAGCTGTTAGAAAGACGCAACAACAGACACGAAGTAGTAATAAAAAATAAATCGTATAAAAGAACTTTGTAGCTCTATGGCATTAATATGCAGGCAGGTTCTGTAATTCTCTTGAATTTTAACAAACTGCACTTTGAATCCGCCATTCGGTGTACGGTGTTAATTTTCCGAGTTTTATTTCCACTTTCACTCGGATTGCAGAACATGCCTGATTAACAGCCTCATTGCGTAAGTCGTAAATTAGGCTGAATTGTACGACTCGACAACATTAGCATTGTCTACTGTCGTGCTGAAATAAGTAAATGACGAAAATTGTCGAAAACTATGCAGTGCTGCCAAGTTTTTCCATTTTAATACACTAGTCGAGTGGAAATTTTAGGCAATGGCGCTAAATTTTCGATACGATTCGACTGTCAAAAAACGACTTGCATTCGGCACGACTCTCGCAATGAGGCTGTAAATTTTACGGACATTATGAAACCACCAGCAGGTTAAAAGAAATTTATTTTTAATTATCTTTACTTATTTACCCGACTAATGAATTAAAAACTTTCCATACGCCATTTAATTGTAATTATTTACCATTTATATATACATATATGTCGCTGAACCAATGTATTGTAATTAACTCAAAGCAAGTGGATAAATCTCGAAAAGTTTGTATTTTACTATAAATTTCTAGGCTTTCATGCTCCCATTATTACAATTGTTTAATATTGAAAATCCATACTTTGTATTTTTTTGTTTATTTTTTTTTGTTTTGGAATGTTTTTTTTTTATATTTTGAAAATTTTTTCGCTCAATTAATAGTTGCGTTCCAGATGCTTTACGATTTGCAAGTTTTTACAGGCAGTCGTTCCAGGTGACCACCTTCCATAAGGTTTATTATTTGGAGAAAACAGCTGTTCCTGCAAATCGGGAATATCGTGAAGCATCTGGAACGCAACTAATGTAAACATGCATACATAGCGATTTACCATCTTTTTCATGCACCGTAACGCGAACCGGATCGGTATTGCCCATCATCATCACCATGCATTAATCCATCATAACTTATTTCAATGTAATTTTATAATTTACCATATAAGATCAAATACAAAATAGTAATTGCGTAAAAAAACTATTCGTTCATTCATTTTTCTATTGCGGCGAATCGAAGTTGGTATTTATTAGGGGAGCACTCCATAATCCCGACAAGATATAATCCAGAAAATTTAAAAAAATCCATACAATAAATTCAATACAGGACACATATGTAAATACAATCCCGACCGGGGACAATTGTGTCACAGTGGACGAAACTACAGACATGCCACAACACAACACCCCAGACAATTACGGGATGCCTTCTGATCTCGCCAGAACATCACATCCACAGTGAAGCCGAAATTCTCCCAGTATTGGGCACAACATCAGGCTCAGCAAGCAGTTCCTAGTAGCACCCTATAAACGTCAGCACTCGTGCAGCTCCTCTGGGACTGCGACCGTACAGACAGGCTATTAACAGCATTTACAAACGCCAGTCGAATGAATGCCATCATCTGTAAAATCACCACTTGTCAACTGCCACGAGACCCGCGTAACTCTGGCTGGACTCGCCTCCCAATATCCAAAATGAGTGTCCAACATGTGCAGATTCACACCATGACACAAACCACTTCTTCCCATGCCTACTCAATCCAACTCAACTAACACCTCTCTCACTCCGGTTCTACCCCATCGAAATATAAAGTTTTTATATTTTTTCGAGATTTTTTGGGTGGATTGTGTCTTGTCGCGGGATTATGTATGGTCGGGACTCGGTCGTGTCTGGATTATGACGGGTCGGGATTTGGTCGAGTCTGGATATTGTCTGATCGGGATTTGGCCGTTTCTTGAGGTTTTTGGTGTACCTGTAAGATATAGTTGCTATGAAAATATGGTTAAATAAACAATTGGGGTGTTATTGGGTGGGAAAGCTTTCAAAGACATTTTTCTCGACGTTGATGCCCAAAAAAAAAATAGCCAGTCGGGGTTAGACTATCTCACCAAGGTTCTCAACCTGTCGATGAGCAATCTTTGTATTCTGTATTTGTGGAAATCGCAACAGAATAACCCCAATACTTAAGCCGGGGAAATCCGCCAACAAGGAGGCGTTTTATCGGCCGATAACTCTATTTTCGCCTTGAGGCCTTGTTACTACCTCAATTCACGTGTCACCTGACGCCAGCGAAGCATCAGTATGGCTACCGTAAAGTGCATAGCTGAGGGGCTACTCTTTAATGCGATGCGAAATAAAATTGCCATGCGATAGGCAATCGCCACAGGGTATTATTTACGACGTATTTGCCTATCGCATCGCATTGCTCTTTCGTATCGCATTACAGAGTAGCTCCCTGAACTTACGGTCATAAACACCTACATAACTAGTGGTCTTAATCATAACCGCGCTGTAGCAGAAACGGCCTAGAAGCGTTTGACAACGTGCGTCGCTACTCGCGACTAGAAGGCATAAAGTTCTCCTCTCGCAGGTACTCAAATGGTGGCCTGCTTGTAATCTAAGTGGTAAGCCACATTTAGAGAGAAAAATGTTATTTTGAATACCCATTTGACCTTCTCTAGTAAGTAAAAACCGAGTCCATTAACTAATTTCAAGCGTTAATCGAACGAGCTTACAACTTCTCGTCGCACACTATTTTTATTTTTATTAAACTTAAAAATAATACGTATAATAAAATTTATATTCACAAGCTTAAGCGATTTTGTTTAGACGTGCGCAGCGCGTTTCACATATTCTTTAGCCAATTTTTTCACTTTCTCCACATCTGCGGGCGTTCCAAAACGCTCTTCGAATTCTAGATACTTCTTGAAAATTGTGCGCATTTTCTTCATTGGTATCTTTTGTATGACAGCACGCTCTAATACGCTTCTACAGAGGGGAGAAAACATTTTTTTTTTTTAGTTTTATAGTAAACAGCTGCTATTCATTTTAAAGAAATACAAACCTCGCCGAATCAGTCATATCGGATTTCACCAGCATGTCTACATATTGTGCCCAGACATCAACACGTTTAGGATATGAGGTAACTACCTGATCGAGCAGTGTTTGCGCCATTTCATTAAGGCCATGTTTATGATTTAAATTGCCAAAAGCAACAATGGTGTTGACATCTAAACAAAAGTGTTAATTATAATTATATAATAGTAACATGAAATGGTTTTCGTGTGTGCATTAAACTTAAATGAAAATACGATAAACCCATTGCAAATTACAATTGCCCAACCCTCTACCTACGTTCTCTTTCAGGCAGTGACGCCAAAGCCTTGTGCAACAGTTGCTGTGCACGATCAGGCATCTCTATGCTGAAATAAGCATTCGCTGCTGCAAGCCACACCTCCGGCTGTGCTTTGAATTTCTTTGTAATTAAGCCGATCATCTCGATGAGTTCTTGGGTTTTCTTAGCGTCGCAGAATATCTCTATCACGCGCAGGTAAATTTTAAGCGGATCATTGTAGTTAAGCGCCTCTTTAAGCACTTCATCAAAGGCTTCTTTACTACCGTAGCGCAGCTCCAAATTCAATAACGCTACCCATATGTTAAGTTGCTCATTATTTTCACGATAGGATATGGCTTTGATGGCGCGACGTGCTACTCCACGCGCCTTATCGATCTCTGCCGATTGTAGGTGGAAAACCATATAGTTGATCCAGTGTTTGCTGTTGTTGGGCTCGGACAGTACCAAGCGATCGAATTGATCGACACTCTCTGGTAGATGATGCGGATCAGCATATTTGGCTTCGATTTCTCGTAAGCGCGTCTCCTCTTCGCGTTGTAACTTGAACTTCTCTGCCGCAGTCAATTTTTTCTTCTTTTTACCGGCTTCTTCGGTGGCATCTGATCCATCTTCATCGTCGTCGTCGCTGGAGACCGCAGCTTTATCGAGCAATTGAGAGAGGTCTGTGTTCCAGAAATCGCCAATACCAGGTAGTAATTGTGGTGCAGATTTGGGTTTAAATGCGATCTTCGGCGGCTTTTCGTCCGTATCTGAAGCGCGATTGTTTTCAATTATAACAATATCATTGGGTGTTTTGTCCTCGTAGAATAGTAAATCATTTGTTTTGGATTCTTTGGCCACTTGTTTTTTCTTCTTTGCAGCTGGGGGGCTAGTTTCTTCGGCAGCCAACTTTTTAGTTTGCTTTTTCATTACCTTTTGCGCACTTTCTGATTGCTTTCCAATAACGGCAGACGTGGACGCAATGACAACTGGTGGTTCTTTTTGAACAGCTTTTTCTTTTTTCAATTTTTTCGGCTTAGGTGCATTATTAAGTTCCATTTTGGCTTTGCGTTTCTTTTTCATATCATGCCACAGCTTCCAGGTGCTCTCCGGCACGGCGATGGGCAGCTTCTCGTGTATGAAGGCAAGCTTGCAAAAATCACCTTCAGTAATACCAGCGCTAGCCGAATTTTCAAAGTCATTAAAATGCAATCGGACCGGGCAATAGACTAATGGATTGGGACCTTTCTTCAGGGAGCAAACAAAGACTTGATCTGCCTTCAGCAATATTTTGGCATTAATGCCAGTTTTGCCTATCAAATTACTTGGTAAATTCTTATCACTGCTGACGTGTGAAACATCGCCTTGCTTGTTGCTGATGTAGACCAATTCATTTGAGTAGTCTACCCAAAGTATAAGACATTCTTGGTTTGCATCCATTTTGGGTGGCTTTGATTTTCCGACTAACGAAGATTTGACCACTGCTGCCACTTTCGTTTTTTCTATCTCGTATTGCCAATCTTTTGTGTCAGCATTTACGCCACGGAAATATGCGACGA